AAACGCCACTGTAAAATTTGTGGAACAGTTTGGCAACCGTTCCACTGTTCACCCGCTTGGCTCTTTATTTTTATTTTTTTTTTGTTAAATATGGAATTGAACTTTATTTTATGTCACGACTTCGGGTGTCCCGTCGGCCCTCGATAAGCGAGTCGAGCATTAGCAAAAGTACTTTCGAGAAAACACTAGACGAGAAGAAGACATTTGTGGCGTCGATTTATTATTTCGAGGTCCCGATCATTTATTTTGAGTAGTCCGAATTCGAGGGTGCATATGAGTAAAATAAATGAAAAAGCCGATTACGGTGGTACCGCAAGGTCGCGATGACTTCGGTTTACCGAGAATCGAGTTGGGACGTGTAGATAATTCAGGAACTATGTCATGCGGGACATTTGTCGAGTATTTCGGAGCTCCGAGCATTTAATTAGAGAAGCTCGAATTCCCGAGTGAGTAGTAGTAAAATGAGCTAAAATGTCGGGGCCGAATTCGAGCGTTCAAGACTTCGCTTTTCTCGATTCTTTCAGTTTTTCATCTAGTAGAGAGGAGATATAAATTTTCACTATTATTTTAGTTAATTCCGAGATTCTTTTTAGTATAAATTTTAGTATTTTCCGAGTTAAATCAGTTCAATTATTGATAGTTATTAATAAATTTTAGTATTTATTAATTAGTCTTATTAAGGACCATCACATCACATTACATTAATGAAAAATTGAATATTTTTATTAATTAATATGATAGAATATTAATTAGTACTTAAATTTACTTAAATAAATATTTCAAACAAACAAGTTCAATTACAAAAATAAGGATAAACATTCAACTCACTTAAAATTAACGTACAAACACTAAAATTAAAATCACAACATAAAAATAAATTAAAACAAAGCTCACACATACTACAACAACAATAATTAATACGAAACATAAAAATAAAAATTAGAAAAAGGATTATAAAATAGATGATTTTATAGACTTAATTGTCACCATAATAATCATTCAAATTTCCTCCGTCATGCCCGATGTCGTCTAGAAATCTAAATTGACCCATGTTAGATGATGGTTGGGTTGCTTGAGATTGTTGTTGCTCAATTTCTCTTTCTTGTAAAATTTGCATGTGTTTTTGCTCCCAATGTCGACGTATCATGGGATTCGTAAGAGAATTCAAATCTATCATCAAAATTCTATCTTCATCACTCTTTTTCTGCAAATCGATTTGTTGTTTCTGCAATTGAAGCTGGACATTTTGACGTTCATCGGCTTTCTGCAACAAATCAACAATAGTATCACTTTTAGCATTTAGAGTTTGAAAATATTAGCAAAATTGGTCTTCATTTTTCTTCTTCAATTTTGCTTTCTTTGCTCCCATTGGACGTTGAGAGGATGTTCCACCAACACCATCGTCACTTTGTTGAGGACTAAAAGACGACAATCCCGGAGACTCTGGTGTTGGTTGTCCATCATATGGAACGTCGGACTCGGAAGAGTCATTGAGTGTATCGAAATCCCGACGACGAGATCGTGGTTGGGACACATTATCATCAAATTTTCCAAACTCTTTGAATAGTCGGAACACATGATGAAACTTGAAGCTATCTTTATATTTTGGGTCTTGTTCAAACAATCGTGCGACTTGCTCAATCTACAAACAAAAAGATATATAATTGTAAGTATACTTATAAAACAAGCAAATAAAATGAACCGAAATTGAACTTAAAACAAAATACTCACCCTATCTTAGATTTGTGTCCCACTAGGATTGTGATATTCGATTTGCTTCAAGCATCCATTAAACCTCCGACAATGAGTTTCCATGAGACGGTAACGAGAGTCAAGGGACCTTATAGAGCGTTCTGGTAAATCTTTGTGTTTCTGGGAATTGTATTCTTCATATATTTTTTCCAAAAGGTTGAATAACTTTGATCATTTGACGATATTGGATTTTGTGAAACACTTATGTAGCATCTAACAATTAAGGCATCTTCCGATTTGGAGTATTTTGGCCCTTTTGAAGAAGACATTTTGAAGAAAATAAGATATTGAAGAAGAGTGGGAACAATAAGACTACAATAATGGAAGAAGAAATGGATAAGTGTGTAGTTGCTTCTTGAAGTTTGATGTATAAATAGATAATCGAATTCACATGCACACAAGTATAATTGTACCATTTGTCATACTATGCAAAAGAATCCTATGCAAATTAATTTTTTATTCATTTGTCATCCTATGCTTCTTGAATACTACATCCTATTAAAAGAATCCTATGCTTCTTGAAGATTATGTTTCTTGAAGACTACGCTTATGCAAAGAATCTAATGATGGAGAAGACTATGCTTCTTGAAGACCACACTCTTATGCAAAGAATCCTATGCTTCTTGAAGACTATGCTTCTTGAAAACTACACCTTATGCAAAGAATCATATGCTTCTTGAAGACTACACCCTTTGGTTGGTCAAAGAATCCTATGCTTCTTGAAGACTACACCCTATGGTTGGTCATTGTGTTGGTCAAAGAATCTTATGCTTCTTGAAGACTACACCCATTTGTCATTGTAAGGAAATAAAGTCTCACATGGGCTTGTCTGAAAACGAATCCAGTGAAGAAAATATTTATTTCTTTTGTTCATTCATTCATCTATATAAACATGAAACTATACATCATACCATCCAAGCTACATATTACATTCATTGTCGAATATTTCTATAATATTGCCCTCTAATATCATTCACAATGAATTATCTTCCTCCCTATAATTATGATTCGGATGAGAAAAATACAAATTCTTCATTACCTCTTTTTTATAACACTTTGGAATCAACCACCACTCATATATTGCAAACCAACAATTTTTTTATGGCACATGCTATCTCTGCGCAAAGTAGCCGACCAACTTGGGGAGGTTCTGTTCCAGGACATAGAGTAGTCCATCGTGATCGGGAGGAGGCTCATCGCACTTTGTTTCAAGATTATTTTAGTAGTAATCCAACCTACGATGAAGATACATTTCGTCGAAGGTTTCGGATTTCTATTCATAATTTCAAGCGTGTTATGCAAGCATTGAAAAATCATGATATTTTTTTCCAACAACATCCGGATGGTCTTGGTCGACTCGGATTGTCAACGTATACAAAAGGAACAGCGGCGCTTCTTCAGTTGGCCTATAAAACCCCTGCAGATGGTGTCGACGAATATCTTAAGATTGCTAAGTCAACGGCAAATGAATGCGTGAAGAGATTCTGTCGTGGAGTTGTTGAAGTTTTTGGAGCACAATATCTGAGATCACCAAATCACGATGATATCGCTAGATTGCTTCATATTGGTGAACAACGTGGTTTTCCATGTATGTTAGGTAGCTTGGACTGCATGCACTGGGAATGGGAGAATTGCCCTAAGGCATGGGCTGGTCAATACTCTGGACGTTCCGGAAAACCAACAATCATTTTAAAAGCCGTGGCAGATTATGATCTATGGATATAGCACGCATATTTTGGTATGCCAGGTGCCAATAATGACATTAATGTGCTGGAAACATAACCTCTAATGTCAAATCTTGCTGAAGGTATCGCTCCACCGGCTAATTATACCATTCAAGGCAAACAGTTTAATATGGGTTATTATTTAGCAGATGGTATATATCCAAAATGGTCCACTATTGTTCAGTCATTTGTTGCACCATCAAATCCAATGGAGAGATACTTTAAAATGAGACAAGAGGCATGTAGAAAAGATGTTGAGCGTGCATTTGGAGTTCTGCAAAAAAGATTTGCAATCGTCGCGGGTCCTGTTCGTTTTTGGAAAAAAGAGGTGCTTAATGATATAATGAAAGCATGTATTATTTTGCACAATATGAATGTCGAAGAGCAACGGGATCTTAGTGCACCAATTATAAGTGATGTTCAATTTGGTGCTCCTACGGTTACTCCAGCACCGCGAGATCACGTCTCTTTTCAACAATTTCTTGCTCGACACAAAAGAATCAAGGATAAATCTGCCCACTATGAACTTCGTAATGCATTGGTTGCACATTTGTGGGAAAAATATTCTCATGGCAATAACTAGTGTTGTATTTTGTTTTCCGTAGTTCTTGTTGTATTGAATGCTTCATGTTTGTGTTGATGTTTGGTTTTTTTTTTAAAATTAATGTTTGTGATGAAATCCACGTCGTTTTATGATGTAGTGTGTAATTAATTTTATGATTTTGAATTTAAATTTATTAATTTATCTTATTAATTAATAATTAATATATATACATAAATATGTAAATTTTTAGCAAGCATAATGCATTAAAATGTAATTTGTAAAGATTATTTAATAAACTAATTAAATTAGAAAAGAATATGCTTGGAATATTCTTTAGAGGGGAATTATAGAGGGAATGGGTTGGAGTTGCTGACACTGTTGAAATTGTATAACTAGTGGGATTTTACTGTAGAAACGGTAAGTATAGAGATTGTGGTTGGAGATGCTCTTAAAGAATCATCCACACTTATTTACAAATAGTGTATTGACGCGTTTTACTATACATACACTTTGTACATATGACAATACATTACGTGATAAATGATTCCATAAAAAAAATCTTACGATGACTTCGCAGAATTTCTGACATATTCTTCCTCAACTTAAAACGGTAACAAATACTAATAGGAAGGGTACAAATATGAAATTTATGTATGAAGCAAGATTTTTGAATAAGAAAGCATATATACACTGTAACACGGTCTCAATCGGATAATGCTGAAAGTGAAAATAATCAAAATATTCACATAAATATTTTGTGTGCACATTTGGGGGAAAAAAAAAAATTAGAGTAATTAATAATTAATAATTAAGTTTAAGAATTAAAGAAATTTCAGTGAACCTTCTTCACGTAGTACTCTCGTACGAAGACTTTGGACTTCATCTGATAAAATCAAAGCTAGTCTTTTTGCTCTGTTATTCCCTGTTTTACTTTTCTCCAGAAATTTATTTATATCGTCTCGTGTGCAGTGATGGAAAAAATGCGTCGCCATCAAAGCTCCAGCCTTGTTGGTGTGATTAAGGTATACGTTCTTCAAACTATCTCTATAAATCACAAAAAAAGTTAGTTTCCTTGGCATGAATTGTGTTGTTTTTTCCTTTCTTTTCTTGAGCTGTCGGAATCATGGTGGTTCTAGGAAAAATTCGATTGGGAACTATGTTCTTCAAACAATCATTGATAATTTTGTTTTGTGCATAGGATGAGCTATTGTCTGAAACCTAATTCTGCTGAAGGCAATCTTAGTATACATGTATGCTGTCTCTCTCTATGTTGAGGGGCCTTTTGTTCTCCAATAGAAGATTAATTTTGTTTTTACCCCATTTGGATTTGTAGAAAGTTGTTTGTCTAGATGGATCCTCAGCGGATACCGGTAAAGGGAAGAGTAAGTTCAAATCGTCATCGATCACGAGCAAGATCTCCCACGGGTTCAACTTGGTTGAGGGACAAGCGGGTCATGACATGGAGGACTACCATGTGGCCGAGTACTGTAAAACGGAGGGCCACGTTGTGGGTTTGTTTGCAATTTTCGATGGGCACTTGGGTGACCGTGTACCCACTTATCTAAAGGATAATCTCTTCAACAACATACTTCGCGAGGTTTGTACGAATTGTCAGCTACTCTTTCGTTTCCTTCTTCATCAGCTGTCCAATTCATGTGTAGATTGTGAGGACTTGTAGACATTATGCATAGTAATATGTTCTTGTATTCGAAATATTACAAGTCAATGTGGTAGATAGATAAGATCTTATTTTGAAAATAATAGAAAATAATATGGAATTCACGCGTTTGATAGTATATTACTTGGTTAGGAAGTACCAAACATTTTCACTTGGATGCTTATAAAGACCTTTCTAGTGGAAAATTTTACATCAGTTGAATTACAACCCAGGCTGGATTTCTCATGTGTTAGCTGAAGATTTATGGCAAAACTGTTAAGTTAGGGAAATTCAATAGCAAGTCGTTATTTCTCATCATATGATTTTTCGCTTGATAATGTACACGATCCAGTGTAGTCTTAATTTATGTATTTATTTACTCGTGCAGCCTAATTTTTGGGAGGACCCGAGGACTGCTATAAAGAATGCTTATCATTCAACCGACAAGCTCATACTAGAGAAGTCCATGCAATTAGGGCCAGGTGGATCGACTGCAGTGACTGCTATTGTCATTGATGGGAAAGATCTTTGGGTGGCTAATGTGGGGGATTCAAGGGCCGTGATTTGCCTCGACGGAAAAGCCGAACAACTTACAGTGGACCACGAGCCTTCGAGTGAGAGACGGAGGATCGAGAAACAGGGTGGTTTTGTGACAACTCTTCCTGGTAAATTTTACTAAATTGATTTTTTTTTTTTCGAGTGTTGTTGCAAGAGTGATTGATTGATGGGAGTTGCAGCTTTTAGTGGGAATTCTGTGGTTTGATGCCGTGAAAAATTGAAGACTTATTTTGCAGGGGACGTACCTCGCGTTAACGGGCAGCTTGCAGTTGCACGGGCTTTTGGGGATGAGAACCTCAAGGCCCATTTAAGTTCGGAACCCGATGTGTGCAATGTACAGGTCAACTTGAGTACCCAGTTTGTCATTTTGGCAAGTGATGGCTTGTGGAAGGTCAGTTTTTTCAGATTATTTACATTGTTCCATTTCTATGTCAACATTGTTTACTTATCTCTGCTTGTTTCCCTTAATCCCTTCATATAGATGTAAAAAGTACTCCATCATATTCTTTTTAAATGTCATTTTGACTTTATCAACTATTAACCAAATAAATGACGTTTTGAATCTTTTGTACATATTTTTCTATTATTACCCTCATGGAGCTAATAAATACACTATGGTTTTTCATATCCACTTTTCATCCTTTCCCAAAACATCTATCTCTATTTTATTATTGCCAAGAAAAAGATTCTTAATTACGGTGCAACTTCTCAAAACGACAGTATTAACAGGCGGGAGTATTCACTATTCATTTAACATAATGTTGGCATTATTATGCTATGATTATGGATCAAGTTAGTGAGTTACTGATCCTGACCTATGATACATAATGGTGGCAACCATGAGAACCTGTCTAATATCAGCACCTGGGAAATCAAACTAGTGTCCTTTGAAAAGTCAGCTAGGATACAACTAACTTTTCTTTCATTTTGTTAGAATACAACTAACTTTTCATTATACAGTTTTTGTTCATTTTTTTTTTTGTTTTTGTATGCACGTTTGTATTGTTTGTTCAACATGTTTTTACTCACAAGGTGATGAGTAATCAAGAGGCGGTTGATATTGTGATACCCATCAAGAACCCTCAAGTAGCTGCCAAGCGTTTGACCAAAGAGGCTCTAGCGAGAAAAAGTAAAGATGATATATCATGTATCGTGATTCGGTTCGGATGATGCCATGGAAGGGATAAAAAAAAAGTAAGGGATACTGTAAAAATAAAGATTAGCTAGTTATTTTGTTTTATGAAGAATTATTTTGAGTGTGGATGATCTTTAGATTAGGTAAAACTTGTTTGTGTGTATAGCGTTTATTTGAGATGGGTGTCGAGATGCCACTTTCACATTCCCCCGTCTCTGAGAGAAACGAAAGTTAACGCATTTGTTTACATTTCCTACATGATACAAGCTTGTACATTTTAAACAACGAGAAACCATTGTAGTATATGTTGAAGGATGAAGATGAATGGGATGTCATGTTGAAGATGAACGGGACGTCATGCATGTTGTTTTTTATTTCTATTTTCGTTCGCTTTCTTTAGTTCTTATGTACTCGTGCGTCACATGTAAAGGCGCACTTCTTTTTGTTGTTTCTAGTTTGTTCTTATCTTGGCCACGTGTACGGCTTGGATTAATTTCCAACAGTCTAGTTGGTTACCTGATACTTGTAGCTCATCTCTTTCATGTTTTGTAATTACAATTTTCATATGTTAATGGAGAATGGTGAATGCCTGGAATACGACGACCTAGCCGTTGCTGAGCGCCAGCAATAACAAGGCAAATTCATCCAGGTCAAATTCTACTCTCGATGATCCAATTCATCTTCAAGGATCTGATAATCCAGGCATGATCTTAGTGTCACACCTGCTAACTAGAAATTGGTGATGATCGCGCGGGGCTAAATCAAATCTTGGCTTCATCAACGGTAAGATCCTTGAACCAAACGAAAATGATGAAAATTATAAGATTTGGAAGAAAATAGATTATATGATCATTTCATAAATTCCAAACACGTTATCGAAAGATATAGTGGAGAGCTTTGTATACGCGAATAATGCTAAAGAACTTCTGTGAAATCATAGCTAGAAGGTATGGTCAAAGTAATGGATCAGTGCTTTATAATCACTACCATTACTCAAGGTTATGATGGTGTTTGTTGAGTATTTTTCAAGGATTAAACGCCTTTGGGATCAATATGATAATTCGAAGAGTCCTACCATTTTACAACTTTGATGTTTTGTAATCACAACTTTCACATGTTAATGGAGAATCGAGTTGGAGTCTTGCGATTTTGGTAGCATAGACATTTTCGATATTCTGCCATTTTACAGTATCCCTTCAAAATCTTGTTAATCCATGTGAACCAGTACGTCACCCCGCTCAACTAAAAAATAATAATACTAAAAACAAAGAAACTTAACAACACTAATCCATGATATTGCTCTGCACATTTGGACAAGCTAAGGAGTAAGGTCTAAAAACCCACTACTTCCTATGATTTCCCAACATAGCATCAAATGATCTGAAATTGAACCAAAAAGAACAACTTGAATAGACTATGGGTATGTAAATCTGCTATATTAATATCACCATGATATGCACAGCATTGTTATCATGTAATTAAAAAGCTAAATAAACACTAGGAGATAGAAAGATCTGCAACTGCCCCATTATTGGACAACAGAGCTGACCTTAAAAGCTGAGACCCGAAATCAAGAATCATGAAATTTTGTGGCCAAATGTCTAAATGTTTTGTTGTGTTTGGGATTGGATCAGAGAAAACAGTGACAAGAAAAGATGATAATTGATATGTGATTGGGATTGTCAGAAACAATAACAGCAAAAGATGAAGATTTTATTGCAGATTTATGGATAATATAATATAATATAGCTGCTAGTAGTGAAGAATAGACACAAGATTATGTTGAAACAAAAAATCCAAGCAATATGATACACAAATCCATTCACAAAAGAAGAAATAAGAAAGATAGAAATAAAATAGTTTGTGCTAAAGAAAGAATCCAGCCCTCTGTTGTTATCCCACCTGGTCTTCAACACACTGTAATTATAGAAACCACCAATAATTTAAAACCAAAAAGGAAGCAAGAAAATGAATGGAAATTTGATGAAGCTAAAGACTATACTAAATGTTGCAGCAGCAGCAGAAGAAGAATGAGCAGCTCCAAGAAATGATGAGATGAAACATCAACAGCGGTGCAGTTGTTGAAGAATTATTGCTCTGTATGTTTGTGTCTGTTTCCTCCGAGTCCCTTTAGGAGATTGATTGAAATGGAGTGGGAGGGTGAGGATCAGTAGTATGGGATGGAAGGGGGTGGTGGGGATGCATAGGTAACTCCAACTACAGGTGGCAGAGGTATGTATGGTGGCGGCGGTGGTGGCGTATATGTTGATGGAGGTGGTGGCGGAGAGGGAGAGGGAGGTGGTGGTGAACATTGGGGAGTGGGTGGGGGTGGTG